GCCTTTGGGCTGGCATGACGAAGTCACCGGGCAATTCTGACACGAACGATTGCCCACCCCCATGCGACTTGAGTGGTGGAGGATACAAGCCTTGTTGCGGCTGCTGGTCCGGCTGGTAGAATGAACCCGGCAGCTCCATGATCTCCGGCATACCGGCAAGTTCTGCGCCGGGTCTGGTATGATCAGGGCCCTGGTAGCCCTGCTGCTGATACTGCGGGACGTAGCTGTTCCTCTGGCTCGCGTTCCGTTGCACGACGTCATGGTAGCGGCCGAAGCCTTGGCCGTCGACTGTGGGAGTTGCGAGCGTTCCAAAGGTCGATGTGCGATCCAGTCGAGGGCTCGGCTCGCCGGGCCGCGGACTTCGTGAGACGCCGTTCGGCGAGGGCAGCGGCTGTTCTCCAAATGTCGGATCGTCGTTCGGCTTCGACGTCTTCAGCATGCCGTCCTGGAACATCGCATGCAGCATGCCGGCGTCCAGCAGCTCCGCCTTCCTCGTGAGCCGGTCGATCATGATGCCGGTCGCCGCCTGCGCCTCCTTCTTCACAAAGCTCGCCGTCAGCGGCACGCCGCACGTGATCTCCACGTCTTCGCGCAGGTACAGGCCGTCGAGCGGGGTGTTGACGCCCAGCTCGCGCGCCTCCCGCGCCTCGCCGGGCTGGTTCCCGCCGATGTGGTACTTGTTGCGCATGTCGACGCCCATGGGCGCATAGACGTGCGACTGCAAGCCCCAGGGCTGCGTGTGGAAGCAGCCCTTGAAGCTGATCTTCTTCCGCAGGCCGAAGCCCCACGTGATGATCTCGCTGATCTCGTACCACTGCGAGAAGAACTCGTCGCTGCGGGCGTCGCGCGGCGCCTCGATCGCCTTGACGCCCGTCACGAGCGGGTTGAGCTTGATCATCTCCTCGTGCGAGTGCAGCATGTCGAGCGCGAGCTGCCGCGGGATGTGCGACGGCAGCGGCGTGACCTTAGTGTAGACGGTGCGCTTGCCCATCGTGTCGGCCGCGGGGCAGGAGCGCCTGCGGGGCGATGGGCTAGGCGGCGGACGGCAGGCAGGTGCGATGGGCTGGAAAGTGGTCGGGCCGTCAGATAGGAAGGAGGGACCGGAGGAGGGAAAGAGCGAGGCACAATGGAGGTGCAGTGACGGCGCCGTGGAGGCTGGAGGAGGTGAAGAGAAGGGCGTCGGCGCGCAGCTGCGGTGGTGCGAAGCTGGCGCAGGCGTGCTTACGTTCTGACTGTCGTTCCAGCTCCCCCCGGCACCCACGCCGCCGAGACCTCTCTCTCACCCATAAATAGCTGCCTGGGATGCTTCCATCGACGCGTCTCCCTGGTGGCAGAGCGCGACGGTCCTAGCGCGATCTCATCGCCCGTACAAGGCCAAACGGCATGCCTTCTGCATTGATGAGGTCCAAGTCGACCGTCGGTGGCCGAGGATGTCATTGCTGCCGCCCGCCGACTCCAGACGGCGGGCGAATCAGAGCGCGGCAGACTGCCAAGGATGCCAGCGGCGAGCCAAGCCGAGGCACGGTCAATGGGCTTCCATCCACCTCATCCAACCTCACGACCGCCATCTTGGCCTCGAGCCATCACCGTACACGTAATTGATCAGCTCGTAGGCAAGACGATCCACGCAAGACTGTTCACGCAAGTTCTCGGTCATCGGGTAATCTATATTCGAGCGGTATCTATGCGAGCCGTCTCCGTCGCCTCGTATCTTCATGACAACGCTCTCTTCGCCTCCGCACACGCTGCTCCATCAATCACGATCCCGAGACACATCTGGTACCTCAGATCAAGCATTGCTCTTCAAGAAGGTCTGTATGACCTCGTAAGTGCCGGTAGCATTGAAGTGCAGATTCATGCCTGAGAGATTGTTAACAAAGTCTGTGCCATTCGCCGAGCACTGGGACCCCATACCATGCCCCGTGTTGCGTTGTATGTACGTCTCGAATGGCTCAGCGGCTGCAAAGAGAGGGGCTGCTTGCTCCAAGATACCGACACAGTCGCTGCCGCAGAAGATCAAATCGGTGTCGCCAGAGATCATCTGCACAAGCGTGAGCACCACCTACCTATGGGACCATTCGGCTTTCGCATCGCTGGCTTACGAGGACTGGCCCGGTGAATGCGCTAGCATTAAAGGACATGACACTGCCGGTCAATATCTCGCCGACTAGTCTCAATCAGCTCAAGAAACCTGGTGCAGATCCGATGAGCTCACGAGAAAAGGGGTACTTGTGCGCTTCGGTGTACGCCAGGACTGCTGGATCGAAGTACGGGTACGTGAGGAAGCTGAACTGGTTTGCTAGCTCGTCGGGCCACGTTCTGCACCCTGGCATCAGTACGGCTCGCGATCGAAGGCCGCTCAGCGATCCTTGGTGCTGGATACATGTGGAGGGGAGGGGCGAACTCACAAAGAGCCAGTGCTGCAATTACCGAACCGTTCCGGTTGGTTCTCTCGGGCTAGATGGAACCCAGTATTGATCAAGAACTCTCCCTGGAATGCAGCTGAGGTCGAGTAGCCGGTGAGCACGATGCCATCACTCAACGCCGGAGCAGCAGCCACGAGCGCATGGCTCAATATGGAGCCGTAGGAGTGGCCGACGTGCAAGACTTTGCCAGTCGGCTTTGGAACACAAGACGCCAGCATGCCTTCGCGGAGCTTAGTGGTAAGAGCCTCCAGGACAGCAAGCTCGATCTGCAGCTGCTGGATAGCGTACGGATCTACGATGCTGGAGTGACCATTGCCAATACGATCGTATGATAGAGTGGCGAAGCCCGCCGCCGTCGCCGTCCGGATATAGTTGTACTGGCTGGATGCACCGCCGAAGTCCCAGTACGACTTGTCGAACCCGAGTCCATGCGTGAGGACCTGGACGTCGACCGGTGACGTGTGCCTGGGTCTCGCAGGCGTGCAGTAATCGGCGCTGATGCTGAATGTCTCTGTTATGTTGACAGCGCCTTTGAATGGCGAGACGGTCTTGGAGGAGTTGCGGACGGCAAGGTTGTTGAGGAAGGTCACCGACTGATAGTGGTTTTCGAACGGTGGGAACGCTGGCTGATACGAAAGCGTGGTGACAGTCACATTCGTGAAGAAGGACTCGCACCGGTACGCCGTCGCAGCGCCTAGGAGAGCAACGAAGGCAGCTGTTGAGCGATGCATCGTTGGGAAAGCCTTGTCTTTGGCGAGGTCGCAGGTGGACTACATGGGACCTATAAGAGACTGGCTAGTATGCCTACTGATTCGGACCACATGTGACGCACTGTCACTCGCGCAGGTGCAATTCCATTTCTCGGGTACCTGGCTGATCAGACCACGGTATCTCGGTGTCTCATAGGTGTCAGGTTCGGAAGCCGTACCGAGCAATCACTTGCTACTGAGAAGCTGGTCGGAGCGCTCGGCATCTTACCGTCATCATGACAAACGGGGACGTTTACGCAGCTGTTGGCTCTGTAACGGCCGCGACGCTCGCGACATGACTCCCAACGTGGCCGGAAGCGCACATCGATTCTCACTCCAATGCAGAGAGCCGGTACCGCGCGGCAGGCGAGTACAGTGCCTCGCAGTAGCTAGTCTCGATATCCCGAGGCTCTTGATGATCATTTATTCGAATCGGTCGTCCCGAGAAGATCAGTGCGCCGACGTGGAGGAGGATGTGTAATGCAAAGCTGAACGCCGAGGCCATTCTGTCAGCATTGGTGAAGCGCCAATGCGCTCGTGTATGCACGAAGACATGTCAGCTGGCGTTAGACCGTCCTACTTCTCTATTTGAAATGTTCACAGACGAGTTGTTGTGCTTCAGAGGGTTCACTTCCGATCTGATATCCTCCCAATGCACTTAACAGACAGCCTTGAAGTCATATGCGAATGTTGAGTGACGAGCCTTGTCAGTCACCGTGGTATCATCGGAATGAGCTATGTGTTGTCACGATCGACTACACAGTGTTCAAATGTAGATCCGCTGGGGACAGCTGAGGTGGAGGATGATGTATACCGTCTAGTGAACGTATACAGTAGTGTAGAAGCGGCCTGTTACCTATTGCGAGTCTAGGCAGGCTCAGGCAAAGTCGTGGTTCCTCTCGAAGTGCTGGAAGCTATTGAGGCATGGTGATGAGCCTTCACGGACCGATCAGGATGCGTCGAGCTCGGAGTGCAACGGTCTACCGCGTATTTCTACTGCCCCCATCGCGGCAGGGAAATCCGGGAGGGCGGTGCTTCTCATCTTCTCCACGTTCCCAGTAGCTCTGCGTCGTCCATTTCTAACGAGGACGTCGGTTGGATCGTCGCAATGATGTTGCTGTCGTGTATACAACAAGCCTAGAGCCCGCTGGGAGCATTGTGGGGCACGGCTTGCCTCATTCCTTCCACACAGCGTTGTAGGCAGATGGGATCAGTACAGTTTAGGCTCAGTGCAGCTCGAAATAGTCGCCGCTCAAGATGCCTGTTTTGACACTTCAATGGGTGAAGTAGCATTAAGCTCTCAGCGACGCATATATCGCCTTGAGCGGAGCCAACTTTCATTAATCGATGGCCGATTCCACTGTTGCAGGCGCGATGCTGGCTGTTCTCGCTCCGCTTATTGAGTCGTTGACATAGCACAGCTCGCCATCGCTGGTCGGTCGCGGCATGGTGAGCTTCCGCGGGCACGGAAACGGTCGCTGGCACTGATACTAGCCTGCTATCTCCGGGCCGTCAAGGAGGAGAGGTGGGATATTGGCGAAGCAATGTGGGTTTGTGGCGTAGGCAGCGACTGATCAAATATGAGGTGAAAAGGCCGCCACTAAGTCCACGCGCCCTGATGAATGCAAGGCGTTGCCTTCGTCTGTTCCCTCCAGTCAGCTTGGTAACAGTGCAGATGGGGTGTGTGTGTGTGAGTGAGTGGACGATCATCTATCTAGTGATGCCCGGTTTGCGACACAATAGAGACGCCGAGCGTAAACCTGAATTGGGAAGCTGGGCTACCTAAGTAGACAGGTCTTGCCACAGGACAAAAGAAATCACGTGATGACAAGGGTGGGAGTCGAACCCACGAGGCGAAGCCACTGCGGAAATCGTGTTTAGTTGCCTAAACGCAGCTCCATAACCACTCGGACACCTTGCCCGTCTGGTCTTCAGTCAGATGAAAAATCTCGACGTGGATTTGATCTGTGATCATTTAATATCCAAATTTTGCGGGATTATAATGACCCCTGATCTCCGTCCGAGGTATAGCCGGATGATCTTGGCAATGGCCGGCGTCGAGGGTTGAACGCCAGCAACAGCATACGCACACAACAGTCTAGTGTTGGAGTGCCACATCGGCTGACTGACACTTCAAGGGGCTTCCGGTACCCCTACATGTTCATCGGCTGTCACACCATCTCCTCCGCGCTCTTCTTCCGCTGCCTCAGACCGCTCTCATCAATTGGAGGGAACGTTGGTCGGTACGGGCTCTTCCCCGCCTCAGCCACAGAAAGGTCGTCGGCGTTGTCTCGCCCAGTGGTCATTACAAGGAGGCTCCTGCTCATGCGTCTCGCCAAGGCTGTCGGTGATACCTGGGGCGACGCCAAGATCTTGTCCGCAGTGTCGGCTATGAAAGCCACCGAGAACTTCTCCACCGAGGGAAAGGAAAAAGCAACCGAGCGGCGTTTGCTTGGCGATGCGTTGGGTCCAGGGCCGTGGTATGAATCTGGCGACTCAACAATATCTTTTTCAGGGAAGATGTGCATGGTGGAATGCATCGCGGTAGCGTTTCGGTTGCTCGAGCCCATGGAGTCACTGGAGCTCGGGTCCGGGTTCACGATGCGATATTTCCGTTGTATCGGCGCCGGGGCCTCGAGAGCAGGCCTGCTCAGAGGTGACTCGCCCGGGCCTCCGGATTCGATGTGGCGCGGCACGGGACGTGGTTCATCCCCAGCCACGCGCCAATGGAAGTTCCCCGTCGATGTGGAGCTCCCCGACGATGCTCCGTCGATATGATGCGGCGAACGCGCGTCCCCGTCATGAAGGTAGTCGAATGGCGGCGGCTTCCCAGCTTCGTCGCCGGTCTGAGCGGTGAATCGCCTCACGCTTTCCCACAGGCTACCAACCCAACTCCCAGCACTTTCTGGTGACTCGTCAGCCGCAGGGCTTCGTGCGCTCCCTTCGGATGCTGTCTCGGGACTGCGATTGCCGTCTGTGGCGACTCGTCTGCTCGCTAATGTTCCCATACGGAATCGACCGAAGGCGGATATTTTGCTCGCCAGACCAGGTGATACTTCATCCGGTCTTGTGACATCTTTTAGCCTCTCGGACAGATCAGCTGCCAGCAGCGCTTCGGGGAAAACATCCTTCGCGTTCACGCTCGCCGACTCGAACCACCTCTCCGCACCCCTGTCCTTACCCACGAGGCCACTCTCAGCCAGGCGGCATACTCCCATGTAGAACTCGCAAAGTCCCATGAGAGCTCGGCCGGCTGAAGACCTGCCTCCTGTCTGGCCGCGAACGTGAGCAAGGGCGGATTGAACGGCCTTCTGCGCGGCCTTGACAACGCGGAGATCAATTGGAGATAGTATCCCAGGTAATGGTAGTATGCCGGGGTAACTTGTAAGCAGAATCATGGCGGGCATGAGACGTAACTTTACTTGCAGCTCGAGGACTTGATCTGAGCCACTGTACTGCTCTACGTCAAGCTTTGGGACATCAGGCGGGCCGCGATCATGCTCCGAGTCCTGTTTGTGCATCTGGCCTGTGTGAGGTCTCCTGGGGGAGGACCTTGGTCCGCGAGACCCATGCAATGAATGTGATGGCGGCAAGGACCCAAATGTGGCTGCGCCGTCGTTCACCGCCCAGACTTTCCTCTCCGAACGTAAGCGTGTCGAGTGCTCCAGCGGCTTAAATAGATCCATGGTCAGCTTCTGCTCGCGGGCCTGCGACTTCTCCAGTTCATCGTGGAACCCCTGGATGAGGCTGTTCTTGTCCGATTGCAGCGTGCGGTATTCTTCGAGAAGCTGCGGCGCGGCAAAAGATAGCAGCGACTCGAACTGAGGAGATGTGATCTGTGGACCGTGGCTTGGGACAATAGTGGCTTTGCCGTCTCCCAATGATGGCGTGCCGCGATCCGAATCGAAAAGCTTATCCACGTCCCAGCTGAGGTTTTGCTGCACTTCAGGCATAAGGAAGCCCTGCGACTGTGGGTTTTGCGTGGTGACGGGTGGGGGGACTTGGCGTCTGCGAATGCCCAGCGCGCTGGGGCGGCGTGGATCATGAACCGGTGGCAGCTCCGCGGGACTCGGAGAGTACGGGTGCTCCATGGTCCTTGCCGATGTTTATGCAACTGCGTGAGGACGGTGTCCGGGTTTCTCCGCCTGTCGCATGCGCCTGCGTGGTCGTCGATAGGTCAGTGATGCTGACAAGTCTGAACACCAACCTCTGCGATGGCATCGTCTGGAGTTCGCTTTCCGCAGACAAGTTGTGCGTCCAAGTATGGGAGGCTTTGTCCATCTCGTCGCTACCGCGCCGCATCCGGCCAGCCCTTTCGTAGTCCACACCCGACAAGCCGCAACAAGTAGACAATGGTTTGCGATGGCAAGGCTTCAGCCGGACACAAAGGCGCTGTCCGACGCAGTTACGCAGCGATGATGCCGGCGTAGATTGATCGCGGCGCTGAAAGGAGAATGGCGCAGAGACGCGACATGTCGCCTCCAACCGTCACCGTCCATTTCGTCCTGATCAGCGGTCGATCCTGGCTGCGGCGATGAGTGTCTACCCACGCGTGCTGTTCCGCACGGTTGGATGATGTGGTCGGGTAGGAATGATGTTGGGAGATGGTGGCGAGCGTCGATGTTGATGTCGCGCGCGACGCGCTCAGGCGCGAATGGTCCAAGCTTCAGGCTGGCCGGGCGTCGCATCCGGAACGACATTCTGCAAGCGGTCAACACAACGGAGAATGCAGTCGAGGCATGCGCCCGGGTACATCACCGTGCTCGCCAGCAGTATTGCATCGCTTCATCAAGGCGCTCCCGCGACGATGGACGTCGCCAGGGTCACCGACGCGGCTTGGTGCGTCTCGACCAGTGTGCAATGATCGGGGAGACTGGCTCACGATGCCGCAGGCCTCGCCGTCAGCGGCGGCGTAGACTCCATGGCCATGGCTAGCCTGTGCAGTGAAGCCGTGCGACACGGCCTTCTCCATCCATCGCTCGTCGGCTTCGTTGTTGACCACAAGCTCCGCGAAGGCAGCACTGAGGAAGCCCACGGCGTTGCCGAAGAGCTACGGCGTCTGCACATCGAGCCTCGAGTCTTGACATTGGATTGGAGGCAGCATGAGGAACCGGCTGTGCTCGACCACCTCGAGCACGCAGCGCGAGAGCTTCGCTACCAGGCTATCGGCAAAGCTTGCTGCGAGCATGGCACCGATTCGCTGCTGGTCGCTCACCATGCAGATGATCAAGCCGAGACGGTGCTGATGAGACTCGTGGCAAAGTACTTTGGCTCCGGCCTCCAGGGCGTCACATCAGGAAAGTCGATACCGGAATGCAAAGGCATCCACGGGGTGCATAGATCAGGCTCTCCGCGATCTACAGGCGCTCGAGCTAGCTACAGCGACGGCATAGCCATAGAAGACGGGGGTGTCAATGTTTTCCGTCCGTTGCTGACATTCACCAAAGCCGAGCTCGTTGCCTACTGCAAGATGGCTCAAGTGCCGTGGGTAGAAGACCGCACCAACGCGAATCCCACATTCGCGGTTCGGAACACCATACGTTACCTGCATGATAGAGCGCTTCTACCCGTCGCCCTGCGCATGGCGCGGCTCAATCGGCTGGCCGCCAAAGCAGCACGGCGGGAGGCACGATATGAGGCCGTGGCTCGGGATCTCTTTGATCGCATGGCGATATCTCTGCATCTAGCCGCGGGCGTCGTCACATTTGATGACATCACGTTGTGGCCAACCATGAGTACAGAGTTGGACGGTCAACGGAAAGTCGCTGCCCTTCTCCTGCGCAAGCTGCTGAGCTTGGTCGCACCCGTCGACGACATCAAGATGCAAGATCTCTTTCATCTAGCGGGAGACCTATGGCCGGGCCTGAGGGATGTAGAGCTCGACCTGTCACGTCTTCGTCAACATGACCCCAGACAGTTGGCAGGGGCCAGCATATCGCGGCCCCTCAACGGTGTGCACGACAGTCCTTGGACTGTGGCGCGGCAGTTGCCCACACGCAAAGATCTTGTCCTTGGACGGACAACATTGACTACCTCCTGGGACGGAGCTCATGCGATCTGGCGGAGCTCGACATGGCAGCTGTGGGACCATCGCTACTGGATACGCGTCTATCAGCGAGCGACTGCACCGCACGCGGCTCAGAGACACGACATCGAGGCACGATTCTTGACCAAAGAGGACGATTCTCACAGGGCATTCGCTGCGCAACACCAGTCTGAGGTGAGGAGGCTACTCAGTCTTGTGCCGCATAGTCTATGGTTCACCCTACCAGTTCTTGCTATCACACCCACCGACCGAACGAGCGAGCAACAAGTCGTTGCCCTGCCCTCTCTCGGCTGGTCTGCGAACGGATGGGCCAAATGGAACGGCGAGGACAGTGTCAACGGCAATGCTGCGGAGTGGTTCTGGAGCATCCGTTACAGGAAAGTCGACATAGGGCAGGGCGAGCACCATACGGTGACTGGATGCTTCTTGATGGCAGCAGCTGCAGCAGCTGCGCCGATGGGAATACAGCAGACTCCTTGACTGAGTAACACCCCGAGAGCTGCGCCAACGTGGTGTGGCATGCCGTGACAGGCTGCTCGCAGATGCTTATCGCATTGGCCGTTGCGGTGCGCCTGGATCACATGCTAAGCGGCTAAGGCGGTGTGAAAGCCTTCTCTCACAAAAACTTGTGCGAGCAGCTGTCCCAACACTGTGATCTTTATTCAACGGCGGCAAGTCGCTCGCAGTTGCGCAAGCGTACTCATCGAGGGTCCGAAGCGAGGTGTGAATTGTAATCATCAGCCTACATGTAGACTGCACGGTGTGCTCGGTTTCCTGTTGTTGACGCCATAGATGTTTGATTTGCACGTTGCAAATCTTGAAAAGCTTGTCTCTACATGCTTCTCGTGCGGCGATTGCCTTATCCGGTCATCCGG